ATTCATATTTACGATTAATTAAAATCTAGGTGAAAAATAAGAGCAAGACCTGGCGGCAGTTCAGGAGGGAATCTTAACGATACTTATTGTCTATTTACAAACGTCGTTCGCCATACTTGGCGTTCTTTCTTTTTTCTTTTCTTCTTTTCTTTCTTTCTTTCTTTCTTTCTTTTCTCTTTGGCATGAGTCAATCGTAGTTTCGCGATAGGACAGTGAAGTGTGAGCCGCGCTCGTTTCCTTCCGACTTCCACGCGAATGAAAAGCTATTCGAAAGTTTCCGAGGCTCGGGAATGTCACTCCTCAAACGATTCGTTCTTCAACCCTCTATAATTGGAATTTTATTCGTTCTCGCTGAGAGAAAACAAATTATTGGGAATGCAGGAACTGTTGGACTTTTGTCCAATAGGTGTCGGTTTTTCAAAAACCACGATTTGTCTTGAAATAGAAATTTGTCTTTATAAAGATCAAACTGAATGATGAGCGAGATATATAGATGTTCGACATTGCACGGATTTATTTATTTCGACTGCGTATGAACATTCATCTTGAAATAGAAACTGTATATAAAAATTCGTTTCGAAAATTTCGAGTAGACCATGTTAATTCGAAACCGTGTAAATTTGCGTAATTTCAATTACGAAGTAATCTAGTCGCGAGTTAAAAATCTGTAAGAATAAATTCTTCGATCGCGAGCAATTTTCACTTACACCACCGTAGAAAATCGTGAGCAACATTTACACTTTATCGTATTACAGACTTACCTTACAAACAGACTGTTAATGCTGTACGAGGAAAGAAAATCAAATTGGCTGATGGAAATTCACAACTTTTGCAACTTGAAAAATTCATTCGACGGAGAAGCGACACTTTCTACTGTTCAGGAAGTTGAGTTCTAAGAATTCAATCACGAAGCACGATCCACTAAATTCTATAAAATGGAACACGAGTATTTCAGCATCGAGTATTAAAGTTATTAATTATTTTATCGAGAATTTTTCACGGCAGTTACAACGTTATATGCGAATTTAAACATAGAATGACTGTGAATGAGTAATTTGAATTTTGTGCGTATTCGTTGCATTGTTTGAAATACTGAAGAATTTGCAACTGTATTTCAAACAATATAGATAACAGGAGGACATGAATTTATCGTACTTCAAACAAATAAGCTTCACGTATGCTAATACATATGTGCTCTATGAAAATATTCGAATATTTATCGTAGAAGAACCGTGTGTTATATAAAACCCTTTGAAATTTCTTCAGTATTATGAAAAATGGCTATCATGATTACATTCGAAAATTAGCGCAAAGGTTACGAGATAGTAATTTCAAACATATATTCAAAAAGAAAATCAATATACAGCATGAATAAAATCATCTTCTGCGATATAAATTAACTTTATCTAATATACTTTCAAACTGATACGTAAAATTAAATATTTCGTAATTTCTATACATACACATGCATATTTTTAGATTCGTTTTAAATCTAATCACACGATCACACGACAGTCTCGGTAAAATTTCGAAAATTTCTATGTAACACACGCAGAGAGTATATCGATAAAAATTTCCCATAAACAATCGAATACTTTCACGATTCATTATAGAGGGTTAAATTTCCAAAATTTATTCCAACAGTTCAAGTACTTACCTCCCCCATTTTTTCCAAACGTACAATTTCTCTCTCTCTCTCTCTCTCTCTCTCTCTTTCTCTCGCTAAGCTACTCTCATTAATCACAGGATCGCCGAACGACAATCACCCAAAGCAACCATCGAACGTTGAAGCTGACGCGTATAAACGAAAATGCATCAGCATATCTGATCTCGGCAGTATGAGAAATGAGTCGCGGTCTCGTCAATTTGGTCAGCGTCAGCCGTGACGCCACGAACGTCAACAAATACGATCACCAATACCATCTATATACAGCTCTCTTGGACACGCGAACTTCTCGTGTAAATGTCGTGGCTACGATGAACAGGTAGCGTGCTGGGTCGTAGCGGGCTCAGGCTCTTCTCCACCTGTTTCACGTACCCGTTCGGATAGATCCACGAGTCCTTCGCGTGCGGTAGCGACGACGTCGGATAATCCAGCTCTTCCAAACGACCGAAATCTTTCGTCCTCTCCGACTTCAGGCTCTCGTAATTCGGCTGGAAGATGTCGGGCCTCTTGTCCATTTTGCTCGGTATCACGTCCGGATCGTCGTCGGTCATATCGTTGGTCATTTCCCCTTTAACTTCGTCGCTGGTGTCCTTGGTTAACGGGGCTATAACTACCCTGTCCTCTTTGTTACCGTAATGGACCACCTCGGTGTGCGTTTTCATCGGCTGCATTGGATGATTGCGACGATACAGGGTGACGATCACGCCGACGATCAGAATGCACACGGCCGTCACCCCACCGGCGAAGCAAGCCACCAGGAGGCTGTAGTCGGTGGTGTCGTCGGAAGTTCCGCGATCTACGGACAGAAGGAAACCGTGCTGTTAAGTCACGTCTCGGACGCGAACTGATTTATTTTGTCCGCTCTAATATTCTCTCGGCTGAAACGTTTTTGCGTTTCTTTCATTTCATCTTGTGTCTCGTCGTACGAATTTCGCGCGCACGTGCTTCTAATCTGATATTTACTCTACTGTTTTTATGTTTCACTTTGTTTCTCATCGTGGCACTGCGTTGTAGATCTGTCTCGAACGTGGTAATTCGAAAGGCTAAAGAATGGTTTTGACAGTGACAAAATTTACTTCTTACTTAAATTGGAGAGCATATTTAAATCAGAGATTTTCAATGACGATGTCTTTGTTCGATTTTGAATTTTCTTTTATTCGCGAGTTTAATTTCGCCGAATATTCAGCGAATCTTACAGTTCGAGTTCGAGATCGAGGCTCGAGAGCCTGCTGCACTTAACAAACATTGAAAAGAAGCAAACTTTCGTGTCGTTTCAATTTCAACGAAGACAAACTCTTGGGTAGAGCAGCTAATTAAATCCTGGGGACCGCATTACAAAATTCAACGAGGCTGGTCGAACGAGGCTGATCTTAATTACATTTCTAATTGCACGAACGCGCTCGCGCATCGAGATGAAATTTCGAAACTGGCCGCCGCCGTTCAATAACGAAAATTCAATTATCCGCGCGACTTATCCGCGAATTGAAAAACCGACGACAATGCCTACGCGGCGCGCTCGATCGGCCCGGAACGAAGAACGGCGTTGGGAAAACTTCGAGCCGATTCCACGTGCCGAGTGCACGTTAACAATCGTCAGCAATTTTAAAAGCCTCGTTAGCGCCGCTGATAACGAGTGCATCGTCCGATTCTCCGCTCTTTCGACCAAGCCATCGGGTTCGCCTCGATATCATCCATCTAACGATCGTCTTTTACGCGAGTCACGTGCTCCATTCAGAAGGTATATTCTACACGAAAGGAACACATGGAATCTTCGCCGATAAAAGCAAACGTTCCATCGATCTTACAATTAGACGTTCCCTCGATTCGTTTTTGTAATTCAGAAATACGAATTATTCTCCGATCAAGCTTCCATATTACAGGTTCTATTTTCTTCTTTTATTATCTTTATTTTGACTTTCTATCATTCTGTAGAAGTCTGTACTGTTGCTCGTTTTTTTCTTGTGCATTCGATTATACTCGTTAATTCTTTTTTTTTTTTTT